TTTACAAATAAGGAATCCTACTTCGCGGAATTTCATTTATCACGGTAGGGTCTAGAACCGATTAACCGCGATAAACGAGGGTTCACTGTAGTTCTAGACTCAAAGGGTGTCTCGAGTCTTAGACCTGAATAAGCCCAGGGTTTTTTTAGTGTTTCCATTTGCTAAGCAATATCCTCTTATGTGAGCCTATATGAAAAAAAACCTTTTAGTAGCCTAGTTAACCCATTTACATTTGTTTACATAATAGATTCACTTCATCTTGGCTCTCCCGTGGTTTGTTTGTTTTTTTTTTCATCATACTTTACAAGTTTTTCACCATGTGATTGCTTTATGTAGTTTTGAGCTTTTAGGAAAATCATCCTGGTTATTCATAAAGGGAATTCTTCCAAAGAAATCTTAAAACTGAAAATTGTGTGCCTAAGTGAACTCACTGCCATTGAATCAATGCAGACTCCATTTGCCCCTGTAGGGCGGGGTCAAATTGCCCCTGGGCGTTTCCGAGAGTGGAACTCTTCACAGGAGTAGAAACCCTCCTCTTTCTCCCTCCAAGTAGCTGGTGGTTTCAAACTACTGACCTAGTGGATGGCAACCTAACTTATAACCACTGCATCACCAGGACCCTGAAAATGTGTTCAGTAAATGTATTAATTTTATATTGGAAGGGGGGGAAAAGCTCATGTTTGAAAGTCTCCCACATTAAGATCAATTTATATATAAGGTCTTCGTTTAACTTTTGAGGTGAATGGTAAATGTCCCCTTCTGCTATTTAGCGAGTGTAGATAGAATGTATTGGTTACAAGATCTACCCAATGCTTCTCTATTTGTGTCTCAGACCGTTTCCAGCACCTTGAATAATCCAGGGAATGGCAGTATAACTGTGCTCACATCCACTTTCAAGCAGGTTTTACTGACATAGTAAAACTTGCTCATACTGGCATATAAAGCTGCCTTTCCTTTTAAACTAGGTCTTAACGCAGGTATGACATGAATGACTCTTGGCCAAGGGAAAAAATATGCGTATTTACCTCTGAAAAGGTAGATTGCAAGACTTGAAGGAGTTTAATTCATAGCCAGTCCTGATCTTAGTAGGTTTTCCATTTACCTGGGGGATTATTTCTTGGTGAATTGAAAATAACCATTATTTACTATTTGAATATGCTTTTTTCTCTTGCAGCGTTGTTGTCCCGACATGGTAAATAACACACTGGACAATAATACAGATGAACTTTTGGATGCGACTGGTGCAGAGAAGGGAAAATTGGTCATGTTAGTGACGGACTTTTATTACGGAAGACATGAAGGAACCTGTGAAGAACAGAAGACTTACACAACCTTTAAATGCTTCAGCTGCTTGAAAGTCCTCAAAAATAATATCAGGTGAGTCAGGAGTTATTTTTATTCGTGTTCAAATTGAAATGCTACAGCTACAGAAATAAAAGATTTTTTTCCCTCACAGTTTCCTGTGTCATCCTAGATAAGCAATTTTAGCATTTTGTACTAAGATCCAAGCAGAATATCTTGTTGTAAAACTTGCCTTATATTTCAGGAGTCTGGGTACTTTACCCACTCAGCCATCTCTTTGAGATAATGTAAGCATGGACAAATTTTAACTTGAGGAAGAAGTACTTCTTTTTTTCCCACTCTATTAGCATTAAAGTAGAAATTCTCAAGGACTACTTTGTTGTTGTCTAGGTAATTTTGAATCTGTATCTTCGCATTACAAGAGCTGCTCTTTTCCTTTGGCTTTTTTCTTCGAAGCCATAATTGTAATATTCACGTTTACATTCAAAGGGATCGTTCTTCGCATACAAGGGGGTATACCCCCAAAGCAGAATTTTCCCCCCAAAGTTATATATTTAATTTTTTATAAAACAACCTTATCCCCAGGGACAAATGAAAACAAATGGTCTAAAATCAATGTCGAGGAGGTCATAGGATACCTGTAGGGCTTGATCAGTGGCAATGTAATCGAAAGGAATTACTGCAACCTGAATGAAAGCTGAACATGATAGTGGGGCAAGAGGAAAGTAAATGAAAATTGAGGGAAAAAGTGGGAGGCAAATGGGCATTTATAGAGGTCTAAATACAGGCATGTACATAAGTAAATATATTTATATATTAACAATGGGGAAATAAATCTGTGTACATATATTTATATGTTAAGTATTAAGGTAGCAGATGGGCATTGGGTCTCTGCTCGTCCTCCCTCAATGCAAGAACACTTTGTTCTAATAGCCTGGCATTCCGTAATGCTCACCTTCTCGACAGGATCACTGAAGACAAAATGGGTACATAAGCAAATATGGTGAAGAAAGCTGATAGCACTCTGATATAAAAAGATACTGTATATATTCGTGTATACGCTGAGTTTTTTGGGACATTTTTAATGCAGTTGTGTGGTAAAATTAGGTGCCTCGGCTGATAATCAGGTCGGCTTATACTCGAGTATATATGATATAGCATCTGCAGTCTTAAAGGTTTGCGGATAAACGAGCAGCCATCTAGCTGAGAAACAACAAAGTCCGCATGGAAGAAGCACACCAGCCTATGTGATCATGAGGTGGTGTCGATGTGATCAGGTATCAGGCACCAAAAACCCAGAACAAAAAATCCTATCATTGTGAATGAGGGGAAGTGCAGAGTGGAGACCCAAAGAACATCACAGAAGGGTCATAGGAAGAGATGAGACAGTCTGGGTGCAGTGTAGCACCAATGAAACATGCAACTTTCCTCTAGTTCTTTAATGCTTCCTTCCCCCATTATCATGATCCCAATTTTACCTTACAAATCTGGCTAGACCAGAGCATATACACGGGTACAGGTAAGAACTGGAAACACAGGGACTCTAGGACAGATAAAGTCCTAAGGACCAATATTGAGAGTAGTGATACCAGGAGGTTAAGGGGAAGGTTGGGGGAGAAAGGGGGAACCGATCGCAATGATCTACATATAACCAACTCCCTCTCTGGGACAGACAACAGAAAAGTGGGTGAAGGAAAACATCGGTCAGTGTAAGACAGGAAAAAACAATAACTTGTTAATTATCAAGGGTTCAGGAGGGAGGGAGTGTGTGGGAGGGAGGGGGTAAAAATGAGCTGATCCCAAGGGCTCAAGTAGAAAGTAAATGTTTTGAAAATGATGAAGGCAACAGATAAGCTTGACACGATGGATTGTGATAAGATCTGTACGAACCCCCCAATAAAATGATTTTTTTAAATGGATGTGCATAAAATAAATGACTTTATCAACTTCAAAGTACTCTCCATTACACTTGATACATTTATCAAATGTATTCTTGAAAATCTGCAATTCCGTTCTTGGAAACATTTTTCAAACTCTTCTGTTTGGATGGCTGATAAGCACCTCCCTCGTTTTTTTTCTTCATATCTTCTATATCCTTGTATAGCTGTCGTTTCATGTCCCTCTTCATTCTCGGAAATGAAGTCGCAGAGTGAGGACAGGTGAGTTAGTTGCATGGGGCAAAAGAGGCATGCTGTTTTTTGCCAAAATCTGGCGCACTGAGATGACTGTTGAGCAGGTGCGTTGTCGTGGTGGCAAAATAGTCCCGTCTGCCATAGTTCAGGCCTTTTTTGTTGCATACTGTTAACACTATCTTTTCAGAACCTCTAAATAGAAAGGTTAACAGTCTGACTTGGTGGAACGAGTTCCAAATGCACTATCCCACTACACATCCAGATTTTGGGGGTACACCCTTGTATTTATATTGCAGAGAACATGATCTCTTTGTGGTTGTCTTGAAAATAACCCATTCTATGAAGAAGCCTGCTTTGATTTGTATATTTAAGATATATATAAAATTGATAGAAGTACCAATTGAATCTTGAAGTTTTTCAAATTTTAAGTAGGTCTACTTTTCCATCTTTGAATTATATGACTTTTTTTGGTTTATTGTGGGGATTTTCCTCCTACATGGAATGTCCTCAAAACCAATTAGGGTTTCTTAATTCTGTGTGCATCCGTGCACGAGGCCTGCTGCTTACTTTCTATCTTCATCCACTGGTTTGAGAAGTATGAGCTGCTGCTGGGAGCTAATATCGTAATTAAGAGACATCTAAGATAATGACCTCATGTGGGTAGGCTCTTAAGTACTTGAATTTGTAGACTGTGAGATTAATGGCTCATGACCTTTTGAAAATCTGTATGTAAATGTTTAGCCAAGACTAGAATTTTTAATAGGTTATGTAGTAGAGCTGGTATCTAGAACCCCAAATGATGTTACGGGGTGTACCACAGCCAGCTATAAGAGAAAACTGTGTTTTTGGATATTATGGAATAAGGCTAAAACCTCCATGAGGTTGATAAATAGGTTGATGGCATTTAAAAAAATTTATTTATCTTTTATTAATAATTGTATCAAGCACACTTGTACATATGTTGCCATCATTGTCAAAACATTTTCTTTCTACTTGAGCCCTTAGTATCAGCTCCTCCTTTTCTCTCCCTCGCCCACCCTCATGAATCCATCAATTATATATTATTACGCCTTTTGTATCTTATACTGTCCACTGTCCCCTTTTACCCACAGTTCTGTTATTTGTCTTGTTTGTGGGGGGTGTTATATATCTATTGTATTAGGTTCCCCCTTTCTACTCCTACATCTATCCTCATGGTGTCACTAACCTCAGTACTGTTTCTGAGGGGTTTATCTGCCCTGGATTCCATGTGTCGAGAGCTCTTATCTGTACCAATGTACATAGTCCAGTCTAGCATGATTTGTAAAATAGAACCAGGATCATGGTAGTGGGGGAGAGGAAGCATTCAAGAACTAAAGGAATGTTGTATGTTCCGTCAGTGCTATATTGTACTCTAGCTGGCACATCCCTTCTTGACTCACCCCTTCTGTGTGACCCTTCTGTGAGGGGATGTTCAATTGTCTACAGATGGGCTTTTTGTCTCTACCCCTTGTTTGCATCGATAAAATTGTTTGTTTTGGACCTTTTGATGCCCGCTACTTGAGCCTGTCAACGCCTCATGACCACACAGGCTTCTGTGATTCTTCCATGTGGGATTTGTTGCTTCCCTGTCAGATGACCGCTTGTTTAACTGCAAGTTTTTAAGACCCCAGATGCTGTATCTTTTCATAGGGTATCACTTGATGGCATTTTCAAAGACAGCGTGAATAATTTGTTAGTAGGTAACACAGTCTAAAAATAGGAGTTTGTCCTCCCCGCTCCCACTACCATGACTCGAATTCTATCTCGCAGGACTGGCTCGACCAGAGGAGGTACACTGGTATAGATGGGAAATGGAAATACAGGGAATCCAGGACGGATGAGCCCTATAGGACCAGTGGTGTGAGTGGCGAAACAGGGAGGGTAAAGGGAGAATGGGTAGGAAGGAGGGAACCGATTACATGGAACTGTGTGTGACCTCCTCCCTGGGGGACAGACAACCGAAAAGTGGATGAAGGGAGACGTTGGACAGGGCAAGATATGACAAAATACCCATTTATAAACTATCAAGGGCTCATGCGGGAGGGGGGAGCGGGGAGGGAGGGGGAAATGAGGACCTAATGTCGGGGGTTTCAATGGAGAGAAAATGTTTTGAGAAACAATGTACAAATGCGCTTTACACAATTGATGTGTGTATGGATTGGGATAACAGTTGTATAAGCCCCTAATAAAATGTTAAAAAAAATAGGAGTTTGGGTTTAATTACTTTCAAATTTAGCAACTAGCTTTAATAAACTCGTTGAAATAGGTATGCCATTTTTAAAAATCATTTTATTGGGGGCTCATACAACTCTTAGCACATCTGTACATACATCCATTGTGTCAAGCACATATGTACAATTGTTGCCCTCATCCTCAAAACATTTTCTTTCTACTTGAGCCCTTAGTATCAGCTCTTCATTTTTCCCTCTCCCACCCCACTCCCCCCTCATGAATCCTTGATAATTTATAAACTATTATTATTATGTCATCTCTTACACTGTCCAACATCTCTCTTCACCCATTTTTCTGTTGTCCATCCTCCAGGGAGGAGGTTATACGTAGATCCTTTTAATCGGTTCCCCCTTTCTACCCCACCTTCCCTCCACCCTCCCAGTATCACCACTCTCACCACTGTTCCTGAGGGGTTCATCTGTCCTGGATTCCCTGTTTCCAGTTCCTATCTGTACCAGTGTACATGCTCTGGTCTAGCCAGACTTGCCAGGTAGAATTGGGAGCATGACAGTAGTGGGAGGAAGTATTTAAGAACTAGAGGAAAGTTGTATGTTTCGTGGTTGCTACACTGCACCCTGACTGGCTCATCTCCCCATGACCTTTCTGTAAAGGGATGTTCAGTTGGCTACAGATGGGCTTTGGGTCCCCAATCTGTACTCCCCCTCATGCCATTTTTATTGCATTTGATGCTTTGAAGGTCATAATTCCTGCTCATAAGACCTTTTAGGGAAGCTGAAATAGCAGACCCTGAAACTAAAACTTGGACAGTGCCGAAGTGACTTAAAGTGAGTATTCTGTTAATAGTAAACCAATGTCATTAAAGAAAGCAAACAGGTCTTGTAGCCATTAATTTTGCTATGGCATGCATGTAGAAATCAAGGAGTAAGTAAAAATATGAATAATTTGTCTTTTAAGCTACTGCAACCTATTAAGAGATCTGGCAGGTCTACAAAAGATTTCTCTCATGACTTAACTGCTTTTGGTGGTAGAGTTTCTTTCAAGTATTTTATTTTCAAATACTGGCGGTACATCATGCATGGAAAAGAAGCTTGCTGTTTTTGGTGCGCGCGTACACACACACATACACACTTTAATGTGAAATAATTCTAAAGAATTACAGCTGATTCATGATATTTTATATTAATTAGATGAATACCTTCTGTTCAAACAGATGAAATGAAAAGTGTTAATGGAACCACATAATATATGTGATGATTAAAGTGCGTACATTTTCTGGATGACCATGCGATTTTTCACCCCTTCTGAGTTTTTCTCCTTGTTGACATCCTGTACAGGTTTATGAACCACATGAAGCACCATTTGGAACTTGAGAAGCAGAACAGTGAGAGCTGGGACAACCACACCACCTGCCAACACTGCTATCGTCAGTACCCGACGCCCTTCCAGCTCCAGTGCCACATTGAAAGCACACACACACCCCATGACTTTTCTAGTAAGTTAGAACTGCATTTTAGTATGACAAATATTGGTTTTCATTTGGACTTTGAGGAACCTTAGAATTCTGAAGGCAAACAAAAAACAAGAAAACAGGCTTTGTTCCATGAGGTCAAGATTAAGTGATAAACTTTGAACTTTTCTTATAAACTTGTAATATATTACTAAAATTGTGGGCCTTTTTGCAAAGAATTCATTTGGAGAGGCTTTCCTGGCCCAACTCATGCATTGTGTAAACTCAAAAACTCAATGCCCACGAATTGATTCCAATTCATAGAGCCCTACAGGACAGGTTAGAACTGCCCCTTTGGGTTTCTGAGACTAACTCTTTACAGCAAGAGAAAGCCTCACCTTTCTATTGTATTATGTGGAAGAGGGACTAAGAGAGCTCAGATTCCATGGTTTTCAAATATGAAACAAAGGACCTTGATTTTAGACTTTCAATAAGAAAAGGACCAAAACCCAAACCTAACTCACTGCCATCCAGTCAGTTTTGACTCATGGCAACTCTATAGGGCAGGGGAGGGCTGTCCCTGAGGGTTTCCAAGACACTAACTCTTTACCGGAGTGAAAAGTACTCTTTCTCTCACAGAACAGCTGGTGGTTTCAAACTGCTGATCTCACTGGTAGCAGCCTAAAGAGTAACCACTACTCCAGCAATGGTAGCTGAAAGCAGAGTCTAGAGCTGGACATTTTGAGTTGAAATCCCAGCTCTACTTCTTAAATACAGAGAGCTCAGACAAATAACTGATTCTTTCTAGACTTGAGGTTCCTCTTCTGAAACATGAAAATCATAGTAGTGTCTTAGGGATGGTCTGAGGATTAAGTTAATTGAATTAAGTAAAATAATGTGGCATCAATTAAGTAAGTTAGTAGAATTCAAGTCCTTTAAAACAACTGTAGTATTAGACCTGCCATCCCTGTCCCATCAATTATTACTGTAAGTGGTGTTAGGGATGTCCAAGATGATTTTTTAATGTATAGATTATAGTTTCTATATCCATCCTTAAAAATCATATAATGTCCCCCTTTTTTCCTGCTTCCAGCTATTTGCAAAATCTGTGAATTGTCATTTGAATCAGAGCATACTCTTTTACAACATATGAAGGACACTCATAAGCCTGGGGAGATGCCATACATTTGCCAGGTACACACACATTTTATTGTGCTTATGTAATGTCCCTCCACCATGAAAGACTATTCTTTTGATCTTTTTTAAGTAAAATTAGTTACTATAAATTGAAGCCCCTCTTATAAATAATTCATTAGTGAAAACTTGCATGGCACCAAGCCATGCCTTAAAGTGGGCATGACAGACTGGATTGGACCTGGGCGGGACTCATTTGACCACATAGGGAATGATGTAGGCCTACTAAAGAAAGTGAAAAGGGTATTTCTAGAAGCCCAGTTCGATTATTAGGGACCATTATTTTGCTGGAATTTTAAGTGGCTCCCAGTCATAAAAAAACAGCATAAAGATTTTTTTATTTTTAACTAGTAGAACATGGATGCCATTGCAAATCCATAGAAGTATAGGGGGTGAAAATTCCTATTAGAGATGTCCAAGCTTGAAAATCCAAGTGGAGCTAGGGATTTATAGATCTAAAAGGACAAAGGGAGGGGTCTCGTCATGCTTTGGAATGTGTCCTTAAAACTGGAAAGACAACTTTTCCATCAACAAAGACTTAACCTTTATTGTGGCAATGATGGGGTTCTTTGTCATGTAGGCAGCAGAGTTGCATTAATAGTAAATATATAATGTTCTTCTCAACAAATGGCTTATCACTGCTATTTTATTGTCAGTGCATAGCAGTTACAATTTTTTCCTTTGAGTTAAACCCTCTTTGTCTTTCTAGGTATGCCAGTATAGATCATCCCACTTTTCTGAAGTAGAAACTCATTTTAGAGCCGCTCATGAAAACACTAAGAACTTGCTATGCCCATTTTGCCTCAAAGTGAGTAAGATGGCAACTCCCTACATGAATCATTACATGAAGCATCAGGTGAGCTTTCCATGTTCTTCACTGCTTGTATTGTCTTTTGTGAAAAGACTGATGATCACTGGGAACACTGGGCAGAAAGAAAGCAGAGTGGTTCTCAGTAACTGAGTTCCTCTGTAATTGATGCAAAATTACTTGTGAAACTTCCTTGTCTGCTTTTTGGTCATTTTAACTACTCACTACTACCGAGTTGATGCCGCCGACTCAATGACCTTAGAGGACAGGATTTAACTGCCCTCTGAGCTTCCAAGACTAACTTTTTGATGGGAGTAGAAAGCCTCATCTTTCTCCCGAAGAGTGGCTGTTGGTATCGAACTACTGACCGTGCTGTTTACCAGCCCAACAAGTAACCATTATGCCACCAGGGGCTCCTCTTTGGTGATTATGTGGGCTCATAAATAAAAATAATATACAAGATGTCTAGCAATAGGACTCCTAAAGAGGAAGGAAGGAAGCAAGATCAGTGGAAATGTCTATTGAGGTTGTCTATTTCAGGGTGGGAATGATAGGTATGGGAGTGATTTTGAAAATAATTGTCCAAAGTAGGGACGAGGATTCAATTTGAACTAAGGAAGGTAGCATTGAAGAAGACATTTATCTTCAAAAGTTTATTTCCACTGTCTAGCTCCCTTTTATCACGAAAAATCAGGTGGTTTCATTGGTGACAGAGTAGTATCTTTTTAACAGCCAATGACAAAGGAAATAACAGTGGCACTTATTACTAGATAACATGAGCTATGTCAACAAACTATCTAGGCTTGTTCCCTGCATGACTCTTGCCATTTACATTGAGTCATTGCTGGGACACCAGTCTTCACACCTAACCCTTAGCTTAAATTCTGTATTTGTGCTTACTGTTGTTTGGTTTATTTCTTCTGAAGCAATTGTGCCTTCCTATAGCTAAAATGAAAACATTGATGAAACACTATACAAGTCAGTGAAGTTACTGAATTTGATCATGTAATCAAGTTTGGCAGTCTTCTTTAGTCAGTTCATTAAATTTGCTTTTCTTTTAATACTTTTATTGGGGGCTCTTACATATCTTATCACAATCCATACGTTCATCCTGTGTGTCAAGCACATTTGCACATATGCCTCCATCATTTTCAAAGCATTCTCTTCCCACTTGAGCCCCTGCTATCAGCTCCCCATTTCTTCCCCCTCCCTCCCTCCCCCACCTGCCCTCCCTCACAAACCCTTGATAAGTTATAGATAAGTTATTTCCATATTTACATCGTCCTCTGTCACCCCTCACCCACTTTTCCATTATTCGTCCCCTTGGGAGGGGGTTCTAGGTTGATCCTTGTGATTGATTCCCCCTTTCTCTCCCCACCCTCCCCTAATCCTCCTGGTATTTCTACTCTCCTTGTTGACCCTCAGGGGTTTATCTATCCTGGATTCCCTGTGTTGTGGGCTCTTATCTGTAGCACTGTGCGTGGTCTGGTCTAATCCGATTTGTAAGGTAGAATTGAGGTCATGATAGTGGGGAGAAGGAAGCACCAAAGAGTTAGAGGAAAGTTGTGTTTCATCGGTGCCATACTTCACCCTGACTG